CTGAATTCAGCATTAGACTTTCTCTTCCTGTTTCAGAGCTTTTACAAAAACAAATCTGCAAACAAACTTTTAATCACAAAGATTGATGATTTTTCACTCATTTCAGTGTTTCAAAAGTGATTTTTTATTCTTCACATTAAAATCCCTTTATGTATTTTCTAGCTTTACCCTGAGGGAAGTGGGTTTTTCTCCCTGTTTGTCTTCAGGTAACATTTTATCTACAGTCCACAAGTGAAGCTATTGAAAACTTTTAAAAAATATGTTTTGGTTTTTTTTTTTTTAGTAGTTGAATATTTCGAGGATCTTAATTGGGATGATTTTGTTAAAACAGAAAAGCAGAGAGATTTATAAAGGGAAATATAATGATGGAATGAGCTATTTCCACTTTCTTAAGTGTTTTTCTCTCACAAGAACAGAAAGAATTTCTACTTTGTAGAAATATTCTTTGTAGAATATTTCCTATATACAAGGATATGATAGGAACATATGACAGTTCATTTTGTAAATCATGCTTTCTTGCTCTGGTTTGCACCAGGTTTGTCTTAGCATTTTGTTGAAGAGAATGGTAGAGGAATATATTAGTCTAATGGCTAAATTGTTAAGCTCTACAGTATAAATAAAAATAGAGAAGTATTACAAAAAGTATATGGTTTTATTTAAGAAGTAAACACAAATAGCTGCCTAGGCTTTTATTTAAAAGGGAATTATTAGAGCATCTTTGATTAATGTAGCTTATGAAGATATGCCAAATTAGTCATAATTTATTTAGCAATCTGAATTCAGGAAAATTAGAATTGCTACTTTTTGGTAAATAGCATAGTGGTCATGAACATGGACTAGGTTTTAATTCCTGCTTCCTTGTTTATTTGTGTGTTGGGTTGCACATTATTTGACCTCTTTGAAACTCAGTTTCCTGCTTGCAAAAGTGGAGAGAATATTGACTTCCTCACAGGATGTATTAAATGAAATGATAAATGCTTATTAGCACAGTGTCCAGGCACATGTTAAGGCTATTCATTTTATTATATAATTATTTAGTTTTAACAACTATATAATTTTTATGAATCCATAGTTTGTTTTATTAATAATTACTTTATTTCAGCTTCTCTCTGGATTGCTAGGTTTTAATTGCATATTATATATTTTTGATATATTTGCTTTCAGCTCTCTGAGCCTTTGAGAGATAGTTTATTGTCTGTAATTTCTATAACAATTAGTAAACATTATTGCTGCTATCCATCTCCCATTTTGGGACCATACGGAAAACTTCTAGGTCAGAAATCAAAAAGGGGCAAGCCATGATCAAAAGGCTCAAATAGACCTTATTTTATAAAATGACCCACATGCTTATTTTTCTTCTCTTTGAAAGCTGTACTGGACAACTTGTGCTCAGTGTAAAGGAATTATATAGCTGATAATAAAGTTTTGTGTAATATTTCTATTATATTACATAGATTACATGGAGTATATAGATTTTAGAATTCCTCTTGGGATAGAAGTAAATTCAAGTAGCGATACAAGAATAGTATATTTTAAAATATTTTATCAAAACCTTTGTAATAATAATAGTCCCTTGAACCATCAGTCTTCTTTGTCAAGTCATGATCACCAGGCAACAATATTCAACTCTTTTAGCTTTTCTTATGATACCTATTTCTAAATAGCATACTTCTGCTCTTTCTCAATTCATGACTTTTAGATATCACTGAATCAGTTCTTGTTATGGTGCGTGAAGGCTTAACTCATTCAAATCCTCTTCCCATGCCCTCTTGCCCAATTTCTAAAATTAATTATATCACAAATTTTGCTTAGACAATATTAGTTGTATATATAGTAGGTAAATATTGTTTACTGCTGAGTTCAGTAGTGAACTATAATAACATTTTCTCTCTAGGGGACTATTTTTCTTAAAATTAATAATTGACTTTGCACAATTTTCTTTTTATTAATCAGTAATTCTTCCTATATACGTCTACAAAAATATGAGCTGAGAGGTGTTTCAGTACTGTTTTCTACAAAGACAGCTTCATTAGATAATATCAGTTTCATTCTTTTTCTCTAAGCCTGGAAATTTCCTACTCTCTCCTGTGTTCGATCTTCAGTATTCCGGATTCCACATCTTACTCTATTTTAGTGTAGTCCCTGGTTTTGGAGGAGGGTATCATCCAGTGGCCTCTTGAGAAAGGTACATTGAAGGTAATTTAAAAAAAAATCTTATATAGGTAAGCTTTTTTGTTGTTTATTTTTTAAGTTTAAAACTATATATTTAAGTGATAGTGTGGCTAGCTGTAGAATTCAACATTGGAAGTCACTTACCTTACAATTTTGAAGGCATTTTATCTTTTAGATTCCAGTGTTGCTGTTGAAAAGTTTAATGCCAGCCTGATTTCTAATTATCTCTGAAATCATGTACCTCCAGTATTATGAAATTTCACTTTGATGTGCCTTGTTGAAGGTCTTTTAATTTATTAGACTGGGTAGTTAGTGAGCCTTTTTTGTTTGTTTGTTTTGTTTTGTTTTAGAGAGAGAGCCAGAGGAGGGGGAGAGAAACATTGATGTGAGAGAGAAACATTGATCGGTTGCCTCCCATACATACTCCAACTGGGGATCAAACCTGTAACCTGGGTATGTGTCCTGGCTGGAAATTGAACCCAAGACCCTTTGGTGCATGGGACGATGTTCCAACCAACCGAGAGCCACACTGTCCAGGGCTTGATGAGCCTTTTCAATCTCACAACTCATGTACTTCAGTTCTGGGGAATTTTTTGGTATTCTTGATTACTTCTCTTGGTCTCCCACCTCTTTATTTTATTTATTCCCAATTTGTACAATACTATGTCTCCATGGTTTGATCTGTTAATTTTCTCATTTTTTGTTTTTTTTGGTGGTGGTTTTATTTTCTTCCTTGTAGAGTTTTTCAACATTGTCTTTCTAAACTATTGAATTTTTGCTTCTTCTACATTTTTAGTTATTTTATTCTTTGAATATTTTTCTCCCAGGATCTTGTTCTTTTGCCATGGACATAATATGTTTTTCTTTTCTTTCTGAGAGTATCTGTTCCTTCTCTAAATTTTTGTTGTTGTATCCTTTGGTTCCCTTTATTGTCTTTATTTTTCTGACTTACTTTTTTTGTTTAATTTTTGTTTTTCATGTTAGAGACCTGCTTCAAGTGTCTCTCAGACATTGTCTCTCCTTTCATGTGTAGTGGTGATGTACTACAATGTTGGCTGGAAGCACTGCATACATTGCAGGGTTTGGTGACTGGCTTTACTCTATGCCAAGATTTCTCAATCATGGCACTATTGAGAGCTTGAACTTGAAAAGTCTTTGTTGTGGAGGCTTTCTGTAGACTTATTGTAGGATGTTTAGGCTTATCTCTGGGATCTACCCACTAGCTGCCAGTTACCCTCTCCCTTCCCCAGTCATGAAAAAAAAAAAAATCTCCCAGCATTACCATATGTCCCTGGGAGAGAACTGGGCTATTTTACTGGTGACTCTGTATTGCTGGTGTCTATAAAACTTTTCTCTGTGCCAGTCTCCAGAGAGGGAAGTTTCAGTCTCCTCCTGCTTGGTGTTCTAAGCCTGACCACTGGATTTCTGGGAGCTCAGTGCAATATAGGGGTGGAGGTTTTCAGGCTCTCCATCTCTGCTCTTACCTGTGTTTCTTGGCTGTCAGTGAGAACCTACCTATTCACTTTGTCCAAAGAATAAACCTCCCTACTTCTGAGACAGTATAAGGAGGGTTCATAGTTAACTGTGAAAGAACGGTCCTTGGGGAAGGTCCTGGGGGAAGAATGGTCTTGGGGGAAGGTCCTGGGGGAAGGTCCAACAGTTTCTCTTATAGGCTTTCAACTATTGCTACTGTTTTTAGCTTTATATAATTGTTCCTATCTTCCATGGTACTTGGTACTATCAGCTGCCGTATGTTTTGTGTGTCTTGTAGCAAGAATAGGTGATTTGTTGTTGGAATCCCTGTTTATAGGCACTTAGACTTTAGCTGTCTTTGATCTGCTAAATCAGTTACTATTCCTCCAATTGCTTGCTGTTTTCCCAAAACTGATTGGTTTACCTAGTATGCTGCTGGTATTCATTTCTGTTCTTTCTTGTGGGTTTTTATAGTCTTATTATTTTACTGCCATTACTCTAGTTTTTAGAGCAGCAAGGAAGATGAACGTGTGTGTTCAGCCAGAAAGAATATTAAACAGTCTTAATTCCAAAAACTTTTAAGTTTTTGCAAATTTTTTTTTTTTTTTTTCAGGAGAAATTCAAATGAGGATCATAGGAATACAACCAGAAAAGATTCTCTTTTTTTAAAGTTTTCAGGCCAACTTTGCCCAATCCCTAATCATCAGATATGTATTCTTAAAATTTTGTATTAGCTTACTTTTCATTAGTATTGGTCAGATGATTGCAGAAGTAAAGCTTAGGGGACAGAGTATATATGAATGACGATCAGAAAAACTGAGTCATTACTGGCTGTTAATAGCAAAAGGACTCTTAGCTTTTTAACATTTTGCACTTTAATAATTATGCTCTTTGACTTTGAGACAGCTATAGCTCTGGTACCTATTTTTTCTTTTTAGAGGCAAAACTCTGGTTTTTAAATTTAAATATTTAGAGCAGTACTGTTCAATTTACTAGCCACATGTGGCTGTTTAAACTTAAATTAACTTTAAAAGAAAATTAAAATTCAGTTCCTCAGTTGTACTAGCCAGATTTAAAGTCCTTGGTAGCTACATGTGTCAGCTTTCCTAAAGCCTTCCCAGGTTAACACAGTTTATGTTACATTGATGATTCCACATTTATTGGATAGTGCCTGAGAGACTCAGAATGTTTACCAAAAGTTGAATTCGTTCAGCCATCACAATTGTCATGTTCCTCCTTGGTCTTTAAAGCTTCAAGTTGTGGGAGGAACTTTCCTTATATGGATTAAAATTGTGATGATTGTGTCTTTGTTTGACTTTTCTGGCTTTACTTTTAATTGTTTCTTTTCTTCCCAGACAGTACAATGCTTGCTAGACAGTGGTGCTGATATTAACAGGCCAAATGTATCAGGAGCCACTCCATTGTACTTTGCTTGCAGGTATGATATTTTATATTTCCAGATGCTGTCATTTAAGAATGTTGTGTATATACTATATTCCCAAACACAAACACTTCTGTATATATTTTCTAAGGATCTCTTGTTTTCCCATTAATACTATGCTGTCTTTTAAGATGAAGTATATGGTTGTTATGGTTGTTATTTAACTGCATGAGAAAAAGTATTTTCTATTATATTGCCAGTGTTTTTATAAGGTATAAGTGGAGCTTTTGATTTATTTGATTATTTAATTTTACATTAATTACTTATTAAGTAATAAAAGAAGACATAATCCAGTAATTTCCATAGTTGTCTTTATTAAGATCCAGATCAATTCCGGTGGGATAAGCTATTAAAGCATGTCTTGGTCCAGACCCATGCTTTGCTTTCTCTGGATTTGTAACTTTAAAAAAAAAAAGTGTTTTCATTGAGTTCTAGAGAGAGAGGAAGGAAGAGGGAGAGAGAGAAACATCGATGTGAGAGAAACATGGAGTGGTTGCCTCCCATACATGCCCCGACTAGGGATTGAACCTGCAACCTAGATATGTACTCTGACCAGGAATCGAACCCTCAACCTTTTGGTGTATAGGAAGATGCTCCAACCAAGTGAGTCATCTGGCCAGGGCAACACTAAGTTTTAATATAGCAAACATTGGATCTCTTTGAACAAAGGTGGTTAAGCAAGTCTGATTAAAATTGAAACTGGAAATTAAATTCATGTTATAGCAAGGTAATAGATATGGAATATGGTTCATTTATAGGAAGATGTTTAATAGTATTTGCATTATCTAAATATAGATGTACATTAAAGATGTTATTTTCTATATATGGTCTCTGATAAATGAAAGGGAAAGGAACGTGGGAAATAAACCAAGTTGACCCTGCAGATAAATTATAGGGCTTGAAGATTAAAAAGCTAAGTTTAGGCATATTTTTATTGGTTGAGAGGTATTACTAGATATATTATCATGTGTCTGTCTTAAGGATCAGCTATCAAAAGAATTTTTAAAAAATTTTGAATTAAATTCCAAAGGTATTGAGATATATAGGAGAAAGACCCTAAGTTTTGGAGGCAGCCCAAAGCTTTACAACTTTAGTCAAGTTTTTTGGTCTCTGAAGCTTTGCTTCTGTGTGAAATGGAAATGCTGATACCTGCCTTGTGGGACTATAGGGAGAATTAAATGAATTGGCTTAATATAAAGCATCCTGCAGAGTATTTTACACCTAGTAGTTGGTAAATGCTCACCAAACTCTAGTGCACTTTTCCACTCCCCGGTGAGCACAAACTTGTGATTTTCTCCTTCAGTTTCATTGCTATACAGGTTTTTCTCCCATCATACAGACCTTTTCCTTTTTCCTTTGTATTACTCCTATTCTAATGCTGAGCACTAATAAATATAGTGCTTTTGTGAGCGAGTCATTTTTAGACTGATTTTGACCTAAAGTTATGATAGGAAGTACTTTCCAGCCACTTTTTTTTCTAGTTATTTTGCATAAAACATAATTTATTCACTTTCTTTCATGTGTACTATAGGCACACGTTGGCATTTTAGAGGTCTGTAATAAAGTGATAGAGGCCGGCTGACGTGGCTCAGCGGTTGAGCGTTGGCCCATGAACCAGGAGATCACAGTTTGATTCTCGATCGGGGCACGTGTCCGGGTTGAGGGCTTGATCCCCAATAAGGGGCATGCAGGAGGCAGCCAATCAGTGATTCTCTGTCATCATTGATGTTTCTGTTTCTCTCTCCCTCTCCCTTCCTCTCTGAAATCAATAAAAACAACAAAAAAAATAAAAAATAAAGTGAGAAAGAGGTAATATTTGGCACACGGATTTGTAGCAACTCTTTTCAGTTAGTGAACTCAAAATCAAAATAGCCACACGGAACAGCCCACAGACTCAAAATTGTAAGCTTTTAGAATAGGAAAGAACAAGTGGAAAATACGGTCTCTTTGTTTCATAAGTAGTTCCTAAAAATATTGCAATATATGTACTATATGCACTTCAGCCAATTTTTCAGATCATGTCACTGAAAGAGCCTAAAGTAGGAGAATAAAGTGCTTGAGAGATCAGTTGAAGTGTTTTAGAAGCATTAGAGGTTTCTTATTAGTTAAATCTTTGCCAACTTCTTAGTTTCCAGAAAATACATTGGCATATCCTTAAAGAGGTTATTATCTCAACTAGTAGAAAAAGAATAAGTTGAATTGTAAAGAATATTCATTGAGCAAATGTTTGCAGTTATTTGAACTGAAAAATCTTTCATGCAACACTGAGCATTCTGTTACAGGGTGTCCTAATCTCTTGCAGTATTCAGATACGGCACCTGAGGCCCTAATTGTGTTATGCAGATTCTGTATATAGTTAGCTATTGTTTCTTGTTTTTAATTTATTTTTGAAATGAAGTGTTACCTGATCATTGATGAAATTTTACTGTAGTTTTAGAAATTCCCTCATCTTTTAAAAATGTCAGAGTGATATTTTTTTCTTTATATTACTTATCCTTTTTGCTATGTATATATATGGTGCAAAATTAATTATTTTGAGACTTTTTAAAAACCACATATATTGAACAATGTCCCATTTGTGCATGGTGATCTTAGTTGTTCATACTCTGTGATTCCTGTCATATTGTTTTCAAAGCATACATACCTCTGCACCTGATAGTATACACTTTTGAGCACTAAATTGTTTACTATTTGAGGGTAAACTGTATGTTTATTCACCTTGGTGGAGCAATATGATATAAATGAAGGATTTTGGAATCAGACAGATCTAGATTCAAATTCTGCTCTGCTGTGTAACTCTTGATCTTGAGCAACTATAGTGTACTCTTGCGTTATAGTTTTCTAAACTGAAAAATGGAGTGAATGCTTATTTTATAACAGTGTCAGGATTAAATCAGATTTTGTGCAAAGATTTGAATATTATGCTGTCATCTGTAGATCCCTAAATAAATTAAGATTCAAGTCTCTTTTGTTATTTTTTTGGTAGTACAGCACCTTCTTAAATAGCTTGTCAAATCAGTGGTATCTAGAGTTAAAACCTGTAATATATTTCAACAGTTGTATTGAGTACATGTTATAAGCTAACTACCATGCCTAGTGCTATGGGACAGGTGTATTGTCAAGAAATTTACAGTTTAATTGGAAAGGTTGGACACATGAATATTGGTTTTTTGATTTCCTGCTTTTTCTGGAGTAAATTAGATATTGTTCTTTTAAAAAACTTTTATTTTGTATTGGTTTTGGGTGTATAGTTTAGTGGTTTAGATATTGTTGTTAAGTTAGTTTGGACCTATTAATATTTGTATTAAGGAAGATAATCAGTATTACAATAAAGTATCAAGAGAGTGATATAACTATTATTATCTGCCACCAGATTTATAGTAGGATCCTATTTTTTAATCTTTAATTCCAGTTGGTCATAAATTATACTTTATGCAGTATCATTTTGTAAAAAAGAATAAACAGATTTTTAATTTTTGTGTAATCTTACTCTTTGTGAAATGACATTTCTTTTTAGGTAATGGTATTGTGGAAAGAGTATTGGTCTAGAAGACCAGAGATCTGAGTTCTAGTTTCACCTGTGCTTGAGGTAGTAACTTTTCTCATCTACAAAATAAAAATTTTTGATCAGATACTCTTCCAAATTGTATGACTTCCTTGGACATTTTGTAAAATTAGCTTTAAACTTTAATGTCCCTGAATTGTAAATTTATTTTTTATTTCCTGTATCTAGGATCAGATTAGCTTATTGAGTAACAAGACCTAGAGTCTAGTGGTTGCTACTCCCAAATAAACTGTCTCCTAGCTGAAAGAGCCATAGTTACTAATTTCACTCCCACTAGGAAGAGTAATTGGAGAGAATGGGGCATGTGGATTAAAGAGTTGTCCATTCTAGGTCAGATTGAATAGCTGTCAGCAGAAGCCCTGAATGGGTTGATAAAATGAAGATTGGAAACTAACTATATCTTTGGCTAACTAACTCCTCCCCTCCCCCTATTCTCTTACTTTGATATTTATTTTCTCTTTCCTTCATTTTTATTTTATTTTTTACCAAGTATTAAAGTGCCATAAAATACAGGGGTGGGCAAAAGTAGGTTTAAGTATCTACTTTCATTGGTAGTTGGTTAAATTACCAGCCACCATTACCTAAAAGATAAATCACAAATGATACAAAATAATAATAATAAGAAAACTAATAATACAAATAATACAAAAATAAATACAAAAATAAATAAATAAGAACAAACTCTCTGTTCCATGTACTCACAACTATAAACCTACTTTTGCCCAACCGCTGTATACTCCTATTTTGAATAATGAGGTGTTTTTGGATGTGTGTGGTAGGAAGACGTTCAGGTTAGAGTTGAGAAGGAAGTGACTGGAAGAAAATAGTGAAAGTATGACTTAACCTTGAGAAATGCTTTCCTGATTGTTGAGGATGTAGTACAGATCTTCCTCTTAATCTTTAAAAATCCTTAATCCTCTGTTGATTCATATTAACTGCCCATAATTCATAGAGAAAGACCTTAAATTAAAACAATTATATTTTTAACTTGGTCCTTTTTTCTGTACAGTCATGGTCAGAGAGACACAGCACAGATTCTTCTATTACGAGGAGCCAAATATCTGCCAGATAAAAATGGAGTAACCCCTCTGGATTTATGTGTACAGGTATGTTGTTAATATATATTCTTAGCCCCTTACTTTATAATAGAGAGAGACTGGTAAAATCAGTTTTTCCTCAGATGAGAGGGTGGGTATAAATATTTTTATTCTGTGAAGAATATGCTCTTTAAAAGGAACTGTGATATAAGAAATATATATTGTTTTTCCCCCAATTTATCACATGAGAGCTTCTAAGACCCTTGGAATTTCCAGAGTGTAAGAATGTCTTTTCATATATTAATGAGATGACTGGTGGCTGAAAGCCGGTAGAAAGCTTCAGGATGTGAACTGGTTCCCAGAGGAGCCAACCATGTGATTATAGGGCAACCTCTCTTTTTTACTCCTGGGGAGAAAAGAGGGACTGGCACTTAAATTCTGTCATTTATGACCAATAATTTAATCAACCATGCCTATATAATGGAATTTCCCTAAACACCCTAAACAGTGGGGTTCTCTGGGTTGGTGAATATATATCCAAGTGCTGGGAGGGTGACATGCCCAGAGAGGGCATGGAAGCTCTGTGCCCTTTCCCACATACCTTGCCCAATGAATGAATCTTTTCCATTTGGCTGTTCCCAAGTTGTATCCTTTATGATGAATAGGTAATAGGAAAATGTTTCCCCGAGTTCTTTGAGCTCTTCTAGCAAATGATCAAACTCAAGGAGGGGGTTGTGGGAACTCCTGACTTACAGCTGGTTAGTCAGAAGTATGGGTGGCCTGGACTTGTGATTGCCTTCTGAAGTGGGTCACTCTTGTGGGACTAAGCTCCTAACCTGTACAGTCTGCAAGTTTTCCTTTAGGAACTTTGTTTTTAAACCTAGATAATTTTAAATATATTTTTTAGGGTGGATATGGAGAGACCTGTGAAGTATTAATTCAATATCACCCTAGGCTTTTCCAGACAATTATTCAAATGACACAGAATGAAGATCTCCGAGAAAACATGGTAATGTAATTGTGCTAGTAGCCTAAAATGAACAAGCTTTATGCATGTTTAGTGTATATGGCAGTTTACAAATATGTTTCTTAATTTTATTATTATAAATATTACAATATTATATTATTTATAAATATATTACAAATGATATATAAATAATGTAAATATTACCTATATTATAATAATATAAGTTTATTTAAAAATTTGCTTATTTGCATTATAGGGTAAGTATGAATTATATAATAATAAACTTTGTGCTAAATTTGGGCCCTCTGAATTTTCTTTCTTCTGGGTCTTTGGTCTCTCTTAAAGATAATTAGAATATTCCCCATAGCTAGAGGAAAAGAATCTAAGGAGGAATATCATGTTATGATTGGTAATCACTAGTTTATAGAGCTCTGTATTTAGAATAGCTCTACTCTTTGAAGAATTGCAGTATTTAAATTTCTCTTAAGTTTTAGAATTAAATTTTTATAAATAAACTTGGTGATTTCTGTTCTATTTATATTTTTTTATTGCTTTATTGGTGATTTTGAACAAAGATTTTATGTCTTCTCTATATTAGCTTTTGAATGTATCCAAGGCAAAATAACTGTAAAGGACTTGATTTCAGCTAACTGGCTTGGGGATATTTATTAAACTAATAGGTGCTTAATTTCTTGATAAAGTTTAATGGATTATTATTTAATCACATTTTTTAATTTGTAAAAAATTTAGCTACGGCAAGTTCTAGAACATTTGTCTCAGCAAAGTGAAAGCCAGTACCTAAAGATTTTAACAAGTCTTGCTGAAGTTGCCACAACAAATGGTCATAAACTGCTTAGGTAAGTGTTTCAAAATATAAACAGATCGATAGGTAGCAATATCTGTCAACTCTGTCTCCTTTTAGGCTTTTCTGGGAATAGTTTATTTTGTTGGATGCTTTTTTTCAGTGATAAGATGTTCTAAAAATTTGCTGACACATCATTGTATGTTTTGTTTTAAAGGACCAGGGCAATCAAGTTTTACTGAGGAGACTTTAGTTTCCCTAAAGAGACTACAACTAGAGACTTACTTAAGTGGATTTGGGCATATATGTCTAGAATTTTACAACTTGATTGCTTAGAACAGTCATGTAAGTAAATGTGCATTAAGAAGGATCAAGAAAGTAGTTGAGGAATCTTGATCACTAATATATAAAACTGGGTATAAGCTAGTGTTCAACCTCTCAGTACACTCTAGTGATTCCTTATAAAATTTTCTCCTTGAACTCTCCCCCTTTCCAGTTCTTTATTCATTCCAAAAATTACATGGCTTTTAATAGCTCATCTCTAAGTCCATGGAGTTGATGCCTTTATAATATTTGCATTTATATATATTACATTTTCCTGCAACTACATTTCTTTGTATGTGGTTAGCTACTCCATTTAGAAATGGTAAGTGGTCATAGCTCACAGATTTTGTCCACTTTTAATTTGGATGCTTTCCACTTTACAATAGTCTTTTCATTTCTGTTCTTAATACATTGATAGTCTTAATAGTTCATGGTCTTCTCTTATGTCTGTTAGTTGCAACTAGACTTCTTCCTTCCAGCTACATGTTGCTTCTATAAATCAGCTACATTGTCAAAGCCATATGTTAGCCCTCTTTTTCTGTCTTCCCTTGGACTTTTCATATACTTTAGACCAGAATCACATTCTGAACTATTTACTCAGAAAGATCTTTGCTAGGCCCTTTATACTTCATGGTACCAAGGTCACATTCTTGTGTTCTTTTAGCCATTAAGTCTTTCTTCAGTAGTTTTACTCAGTAAACCATTTGCTAATTTTAAAAATATATTTCTACCTCTGAGACTATTTTAGACCCTGTTAGAGTCATTGAATTCCAGCTTGACATAATGCTCTCCTTTTATTTAGTCATTTCCATTAATCCATTTATTTGATGAGGACTTTCTAAGTTTCAGACATACTAAGTAAATGCATTTACAGCAGACTCAGGTGAAAATCCAGACATCACCGTTTACTGTAACCTCAGCAAATAACTTTTTGGAGTTTCTTTTCATCGTCCACCCATCCATTTAATACTTAATTTGAGTGCCTACTATCCACCAGCCCATCACCTAGGTGCTCATGAATAATACAGACAAAATCTCTCCCTATGTTTAATTTCAATCCAAACTATTTTATTTCCTTGTTGGAAAATGATAGTAAGTATCTTAATGAATGGTTGTAAGAATGAAATAATAAGGTGCAGTAAAGTGCCAAGCACAGTGTCTGACACATAGCAGAGGAGATGACGGTGATGGTGGTGATGGTATAAATGAAAAATGCTAGAGAGAATGATGATTATTTTAAATACCCCCATAATATCTTTAACCTGTTTTCCTACATTAGAAAACTTGTTTTTTTAACTTAGATTTTTGTACCATTTTCTCCCTTCCACAGTAATCAGAAAGCATTTATGTTTTTGTGTATGTATGTATGTTTTTAAGTTCACCTTTAACATTTATTAACTTTGTGATTTGGATATTGTTATCTCCATTTTACATATGAGAAAATTGTGAAGTTCAGTGATTTGCCAAGCTAATACATAGAAGATCCAGGATTCTTATCCTCACTTTAAAAAAAGCAGGTCCTAGGGTTCAGTCTAGCTCTTAAAAGCCACAGGGAGATTACTGTAATAGGAGAATCAGGGTAGGAAAAGGGATCTATTGCCAGTACAGGTTTTAAAGCTGCTTTGCTAAACTGTACTGTCTTGCCACGTACAATGCTACTTATTTAGATGTTTTGTAGAATCTGTCACTATGGTCTTTTTTGGCCTGTATAAACCTTTTTCTTTGGGTCAGTAGTGAGTATTGGTTATTAGTATTGTTAGAATTTATTGTTACTGTTTTGAGAAAAACCTGTCCTCCTCCTGTGTTTTTCTCCTTTATTTTCATATCATTACCTCACAACACTTCTGACACCAGATGTGTGAGCTTTCATTCCCTACACCAAGCATTCTGCAACACCAGCTGGGTATCCTACAATGTAAATCAATTCTGACACTATCTACTTGGAGATGGCATCAGTTCCTACAGGTTAAGGTCTCAGTCCCCAAGACTGCCCCCGCAGTATGTCAATCCCAAGTAGTACGTCCCTAGGTTACTCATAACTTCTGCCTGACTTGACTGCAAAGCGGAGGTTCTGATCCTTTTCCCCCTTGGATTTGATTATTTCCTTAGAACAGCTCACAGAATTCAGGGAAACACATTTCCCAATCTATCAAAGGATATGATAAAGGATATATATGAGTAGCTAGATAAAGAAATACTTAGGGCAAGGTCTGGGAGAGTACTGACAGCTCAGGAGCTTCTGTCCCACGGAGTTGGGGTATGTCACCCTCTGGTACACGGATGTGTTCACCAACCTGGGTGCTTCCTGAACCCCATATTTTTTGGCTTTTTATGGAGGCTTCGTCACATAGACATGTGGATCATTAACAACACCATTTCCAGCCCCTCTCCTCTTTTTGGAGAACCCAGCCAGGGTTGGGGGAAAGGGAGGTGCTGGAAATTCAAGCTTCTAATCATGGCTTTGCCTTTCTAGTGACCATCCATCCTGGAGCTCACCAAGAGTCATGTCACTAGAACAAAAGACACTGCTCTCACCCAGGAAATTCCAAGACATTTAGGAACTCCGTGTTAGGAATTCACATCAAAGACCAAATATTAGACCAAAAGATGCTCCTAGTGCTCTAACCACTTAGGAAATTATAAGGGCTTCAGGAACTCTGTGCCAGGAACTGGGGTTAGAGACCAATAGATATATATTCTGTTATCTCACATTACCAAGGTAGATTCTTAAGGGGACCTTAAGTACAAGTTATTTTTTCCTTCCAATTTATGTTTAATGGCATTTAAATTAAAAAGTTTTTTAAGTTATAATTGACATTTTAACATTATGTTGAATGGTACTTTTGCAGATTGTTTTGTTTATTTATGAATCATTTTATGTTTCTTAATCCCCAGTGTGATGCGATTTTGGCCATTTACTTTAATAGAAGTTTTAATTAAGAAAATAACTGATTTATGCCTGGCCAGGCCTGGTTCAGTGGTTGAGCATCGACCTAGGGTTCAGGAGATCTCGGTTTGATTCCCGGTCAGGGCACATGCCTGGGTTGCATGCTTGATCCCAGTTGGGGGCGTGCAGGGGGCAGCTGATCAGTGACAACTCTTTCATCATTGATATTTCAAATCTCTCCCTGTCCCTTCCTCTCTCTGAAATCAATAAAAAAAAAAAATATATATATATATATATATATATATATATAAACCGATTTATATGTATTAATTAGTAGTGATTGAGATGTTATTTAGCACACTTTTGAAAAAATGAACAGCCTTTTGTCTAACTGATTCTAGGAGTATTTGATAAAGATAATAAATATTTACTGAGGGCCTTTTCCCACATACTTTGTTTCCTTAAATGAGTGAGTTATCTTTCTATATATTTGCGATTGAGGTAAAGTTTGTTAACAATGTGTAAATGAACAGAGAAATCATAGCCTTTGCTAAAGTAAGACTGTGAATGGAGGTGTACTTTCATATAAAAACAAAGGTGGTTGATAGGGCTTTAAGTTAGGAAACTAATTTTACACTTTCATATTGAGACCTGGTAGCTTGGAAATAAATTATTTTATGATGAACTGAGAAGGATATATTGAAGTTTGGATTTGGATTTTATAATCTTTTTGTATCATACAAAAGAGATATTTGACTGGTTGGAAAGTGAAAAATAACATTTTTTAGACCAAGCAGTCAGCTTGGAAGAAGTTTAAACTGGATAAAGTAGTATAAAATTATTAGGCTATACAGTTGATGGTTTTAAGATTCCACTGTAAGAAAATACTTGTTACCTTAAGATAACTCGAGCTCAGGTACTTAAAACAAATATTTATATACTTGTAGTAATTTTGCAGAGGAAAATTAAAAAATCACACCTTTCTCATGCAGAAGAATTTGAGAATCATTGCAGTTAACTTTTCCAAGAGCTGCAACACAATAAAGGGAGGAAATAGTTTCAACCAAACAATGTTTCTATTTTGTCAGTCTCAACAATGGCATGTATGATACAAAATTAGAAATATTTAGTAAAGACAAATATGTAAAAATCAGTGCAAGCAAAACTAATGATTTAATACACATTCGATTGAGTTACCAAAAGAAATAAAAAGTTTTGCTAATATGCTGTAGCTATCCTAGTCAATAGCTATTGTATTTCACTAACACTTGTAACTGATAGCTCATTTTTATTGGCTATTTTTACCAATTTAATAATTCTTAGAATGAGAATACACTATGAGTATTAAAGTGAAAGTGTCACGAAATTTTGGTTGACATGTCATTAGAGGAATAGGAAAACCCTTTCTAATTTGGGGCTTACCAAACTGAAATACTTAGAAATAGGCATTTGCTATTTCTACATTATACCTGTTGTTTTTTTAACGTTAAAAGATACCTAAAAATATAGAGGAAGATTTTAATGAACTGGATAAAATACGTAGGGGAAGATAGGATACATTTTAATAATTTTATGAAAAGACAATCATGTTATTCTGCCTAAAAAGTTTATGCAACTCTTTACTCTGCTTTTGTGTAGCTGTTGTAATAAAAGATAACTGATGTTAGAGATTTTGAAATAAAACCACCTGCTAAACAACAGTAACAGAATGTTTTAAAATATCTAACAGAGTAATGATTGATAGTTATGATGATGACCAGTCCCCTGGCACTATGGGATTCTGAAGGGCTTTGTGATTTGTCAAAGGAAGTTTATATTCAATATGATTTCGTGTGAATTGGATTTGAGTCTTTTTTTTATAGTGGTATATATTTCCTATATTTATGTAGAGACCTAAGGCAACTGTTATATTGAGAACCACTCTAATACAGATGGTAACTTTAAGATTATTCAATTTGTGAATGTTCTATATGTGAAAAACTGATTATTATGCTAGGGATAGAATAGTAGAGAGTTCAGCCTATACAGTTGAGATATGGGTGGCCCTAAGGACATAGGACCAACATTTGCCATTGCTTCTCTGTGAAATGTTCTGAGTTCTAAAGAATCAGTTTAATTTACAAATATACTTTTGGAAGTGACAGTTGGAGATTGCCTTATAGTTGGTGTCTCAAGAAACCAAGTGTTCGACAGTTTTGTTCATATTTTATGCTTTAATCATTGGTTATATCCTGGTGGCTTAAAAATTAATAATTTATTCATATGCAATTCAAGTAATATATATTTGGTAACCTCCTGTTAAAACATTCTGTCCTTGATACCATGATAGGAAAGGAATTTTACTTGTTATATTATGAAACAGATGGCCAATTGATGAAGATGTTTTAAAATAGGCATTTTAAGATGTAGTTTGTTTTATTCTGTCTAATCTCTTCATATTTTATTTTTAATTTTTAGCCTGTCTAGTAATTATGATGCTCAAATGAAGAGCCTTTTAAGGATTGTGAGGATATTTTGTCATGTCTTTCGAATTGGTCCATCCTCTCCCAGTAATGGAATCGACATGGGCTACAACGGGAATAAAACACCAAGAAGCCAGGTGTTCAAGGTCAGAAAAGTATATGACGTTGTTATGAAGATAGACGTAAAAGAGATGAATTTGACAAAGCATGCATTCATTAATCAGAAACCTCATACACAGGAAGTAAGTTTGGTTCATACCCATATCACTTTTTAGGTTAGGCACATACCTTCTCCCTTTCATCTCTGTTTAATCAGCAGCAAGTCTTAATTGGTGAGCTTTTATATTTTTCTTACAAGTAAAATTTTAGTTCCATTAGTTTTTTATTCTAAGGGTAAAGATATTTAATGTTTAAATCTAATTAAATCTATTTTTTATTGGATTATAGGTTTTTAAGGTGGCAATATGCAGCCATTATGCTTTTAAAAAAATATTACTTATTTAGAAGGAAAAAAACTGTTCAGTTTTTATTTAGATTTTATTATCATGTGTGTATTATGTGTGTGTCCATGTATATGTTTTCAGAGTAAGGTTACTTTCGGTTACTGGGTTTACCAACAGTTAATTCCTGAGATTACTTCACGGATGAATCATTGAGATACGTATTTTGTGAACACATTTTGTATTGCTTCAGTTGCTTCTTTTATACAAGCACATTTATGGATGGAATCCTTGGAAAATGGTTCCCCATAAAACCCAAGGCAGTGTTGCTACTCAAATTATAATTTGATGAAGTAAACAAAATGAACATGGCTGTAATTGCTATTATTAATGCTTTTTTATGGCATTATATTTTCAGGTAACTCAGATTTTGGATAAATGTGTAATTTAATAACTTCCCATGTTATTTTTTTAAAAGGTAATTTACCTTAAGAAATTTTCATATTATAAAATTTGCTTTTGGGTTTCATAAAGACGTATTTCTTTAAGCAGTCTTTTGAGTATAAATATAGGTTCTCTATCCAAAAAGTGATATATGCCCAGCCGGGTGTGGCTCAGCGGTTAAGCGTTGACCTAGGATCCAGGTGATCAGGGTTCCATTCCTGGTCAGGGCACATGCCCAGGTTGCGGGCTGCAGCCGATCAATGACTCTCTCATCATTAATGTTTCTATCTCTCTCTCCCTCTCCTTTCCTCTCTCTGAAATCAATAAAGATATATTTAAAAAAAAAAAAAAGTGATATAACTGCTTTTATGTGCCACTTTCTCTAAAACTAGTTATGATCAACAGCTTCACTGTCTGTAAAAATTCAAAGTTAAATTAATGAGTTACGCTAAATGATCCTTACATGGAAAATTTTTGGCAGACACAAATAAATGGTTTGCAAGCGTTTTAACACCAGTAGTTTCTTTAATACCTAATAGAAGAGGTGTGATAGCCTTTAGGAAGGTGTGTATAAGTATCTCTGCATCTGTTTGTCTGCTTCATGTGTTCTCTCTTCCTCTCTTTTGTAATTTTTAAAATTTAGTGTAGGAAAGAGTTTTCACTGTNGTTTGTCTGCTTCATGTGTTCTCTCTTCCTCTCTTTTGTAATTTTTAAAAATTAGTGTAGGAAAGAGTTTTCANTATAAGTATCTCTGCATCTGTTTGTCTGCTTCATGTGTTCTCTCTTCCTCTCTTTTGTAATTTTTAAAATTTAGTGTAGGAAAGAGTTTTCACTGTCTTTTTTCTCTCTCCTTTTTTCTTTCCCTATTGTGCCACCTCCTGGAAGAAGGAAGTTATGCATCTTCTTGTAATTTAAAATTTGGCTTTTCACATACCACTTCCTTGAACATTAGTTAGGAGTGATAATTTCTTGTTTGTGTAAAATTCTAATCTAAATTATTGGTTCATTGTTTTTTCAGTGCTGTTTTAAGTGAGTTTTACCCCTCAGACATTCACATTACACGAAGTTGTTCCTAATGTGTTCTGGTGTGGCTCATGCTGTTAGTTACTGAATCTACCCCTGATTTGATTTTCTACTCATTTTTGCTACTCATTTAAAGATGAATAGATAGATCAAATCAGGTATAGATATGGTCACCATTATTTATATTCACTATTGTCTGATTATTTTTTGTTGTTAAAATTTGAATTTGCCGATGATATCGGAAAGTATGTGCTGAGTAGCGTCTCTGTAGACATTTAATGCATATGCTAGTTTTCTGCCTACCCAGGCAGCACAGGTATAACTGAGTAGAAAAGGATATCACTATTTTTCTGTTAGCTTTCTTTTTTTTATGGAATCCAGATTCTGTATTTTGATTTTCATATATCAATTATATACATATTCTTCTATTTTATTTTATTTGTTAGTATTTTTATTTCTTTTTTAAGGCACTATTTTCTGCATTATTGACAACTGTTATTTTGTCTTAAATTTTGATCTGTCACTTTGTTAACATTTTTATTATAAGACTTAACTAATTTTTTAAAAACAGTTTTATTCTTAAGGAATTTATTAATCTCTTTCCATCTAATTTTATGACTTAAGTGTAGATTCTTTAGAGGATGCCAAAATGATCTGCCCTCCCACTTATAAGGATAACAATAGAAATTACATTGTCATTTGTGTACATAAGGTCTCTATTCTCTCTGTTCCTTGTGGGATGATTCAAATTGTAAAAATCTTAAACATTTGCTGAGTTGCTGTAATGTTAAATTGGAAATAGCATTTTAATTTTTACAACATTTTTTCCAAGGTAGCAATTGATCTCCACTTTCCATTTAATTAACTAGGTATTCTGGCTTATCACTCTATTAAGATTAACTAATGGGGTTTCCATGAAAATGAATGGGTTTATAGGCCATGTGTTTTTAGTAGGTGAAATTATTTAACATCCTGTTATTAGTTTTCTCATTTATCTTAGAAGCCCTTTAAATTAACCTGAACACTTAGCCATTTTTTTAGTGTTCAGAGATTTTTATCTAGTGACTTGGAAACCTCAGAGCATCCAAAGGAGGAGGTAGTTCTGGTAGAGAAGCAGGGTGAGCGTGGGGAAGATAGTTTAGGCTTCTTGAACCTTGATATGCTCTTTTTGTGAATAGTAAGCTGTGACTATTAACAGTTTCATAGAAGTATAATTGGGAAAATTTGGAAACCAAGGAAGATTGGTTGTGGCAGTTGACATCAAGTCGAGGGTAGTCAGACTAACAGGATTTGAAGATGCAATTAATGAATTTAAGTTAGTAATGCTTTCCTGTCAAATTTGTATCTCACTTTGGCACATGGATCTTGAAAAATTCTAATTTTTCAGCAAGTTTGGGATTATATATTACAGCTTTGAAATATAACTTGGAATGTTTTGAAAAATCACATATGATTGTCATCATTGTTGCTATAGGGAGAATATAATTCTGAGGTGAAAATCACTCAGTAATATGAGATGAAGCAGTATTTTCACAGTGCTGAGAAGCCAGCTCATATTTTCCATAGTCACTGACTCATTTTTCAGTAACAGTTAATATGTACAGTATCTTATACAATGTCTTTATCATTATTTATGAGTATAGAAGGCATCATAGATATGGTTTGCAATGATTTATTTTTAATTTTTAAAATTTATTATAATCTTTTTCATCTGTGGCTGCTACCACAGAAATTAAAATTATTTTTATAGTATTCTTTTGTGGTTGAGGAATGAATTTTCTGAACAAATTTTCAAAGGGACAGCTCCCTAGGTAAAACTACATTAAGGTTGGGATTTTGTTTTACTGCCTGTGTGGGAATGAAGAAAGAAAAGGTGGGGAAGAGAGAAGAGAAAGGCCTAAGATGACTTAGAGCTTCTCCTTTTCCCTCATTCTCCTTTACTTCTGCGCTCGCTATGTTCCTTTATGGAGAACTTTCTAGTTTTTTTTTAGCATTCTGAATTATGCAAATTTTGCCTTTCATTTTTGCACATTGTCAGTATTTGAAAATGGGATTGTTATAGGTTCAGGCTCAGTGCTCTCGTCTTCATGAGCAGCAGGTATCATTTACTGCCTGGGGCTCATCTCTATCCTGTGTGTTGATATTCTAGGTTTTCGCCCTTCTCATTTCAAGGCCTATTATTCCTTTTTCCTTTTGTTTCAAGCAGTTTTACATCACCACCACCTGTTCTTTCTATTCTGGAAGTTCATTTTCTGATGTAAAGCTAAATAGTTTTGTTGACGTAAGTTCTTTTTCATCTTTTATAGCAGGTTTAATGTTTTGCTCATGAACTGAAACTATCGACTCAAACTTGAATCATGATTAAAATTAAGACATTTTCAGTGAAGCCCTGGCTGGATGGCTCAGTTTGTTGGAGTGTTGTCCCATACACCAAAGGATTTTGGGTTCGATTCCTGGTCAGGGCACATACCCAGGTTACGGGTTTGACCCCTGGTCGAGACATGTTCAGGAGGCAACTGATACATGTTTCTCTCTCACATTGATGTTCTCTTTCTCTCTCACTACTATCTCTTTCCCTCGCTCCTTTTCTCTCTAAAATCAATCAATAAACATATCATTGGGTACAGATTTAAAAAAAGACATTTCAGCTGGGCCTGCATGTGTCAGTGGTTGAGCATCGACCTATGATCCAGGAGATTGCAGTTCGACTCCCGGTCAGGGCACATGCCTGGGTTGCGGGTTCTAGCCCAAGTAGTGGGCGTGCAGGAGGCAGCTGATCAATGACTCTCTCGTCATTGATGTTTCTGTCTCTCTCTCCCTCCCCCTTTGTCTCTCTGAAATCAATAAAGTTATATTAAAAAAAAAAAAAAAGCCATTTCAGTGAAGGTATCTTTTCTGTTTCCGGCAGCCAGTTCTTTTGCCTCTGTTACGTAGCTCAGGGACCCTGAATCTTCCAGCTGCTCTGTGCCTAATCATGGACAAGCCCACTTGTGGGGAAGAGGGGTGCTAATTTCAACCTCAGGAAGGGTGTACTTAGTTCTGCCTTTGCTTACCTGTTTACCTAGTACGTACTAATTAAATGTTTGTTGAATGAGTGAGTTAGGTTTTTGTTTATGGTAGTGGGGTTTTTTTATTTTTCACTTTTTGATTTAACTAAGTAAAGACTTAAGGGTGATTTAGTTGTCTGTAAATTCAGTAAGTCATATGTTCTCAGAAAGAGAATGTTATAGAAACCTGAAAAAAGGCTGAAGATGTAGCAGAAGGATTTGTGAGATAATTGGAAAGAATTTTCTGGCAGAACAGGTTAAACATTTTCTGAGGCTCCAAATATGGTGTCATAATCTCTTCATATAGTGATCTTTAAAAGTAAGATTATTTCTTTTAGTTGAAATATTGTAAGGGTGTGTCTTTCCAAAATACATGATCTGGATTGCAGCATTCTGTGATCATATAAGATCAAAAGATAGTACTAACTTTTACATTGATTTGCAGAAAGTTTATCATTCTCAATAGGAATATTTAAAGTAGGATAGGAATGAAGAACCATTCAACCACTACCCCATTGCCAGTTGTTAACCTTTATTTGGGATTAAAAATGTTCTAGTGGGTTCTTATTTTCCTACCTTTATTGAGACATAATTGACATAAGTATTGTATAAGTTTAAGATATACAATGTGATGATTTGATAAATGTATATATTGCAAAATGTTTACCACAGTAAGGTTAGATAATGCATCCTTCACCTCACAGAATTACCCTTTTGTTATTGTTATGGTGAGAACATTAAAGCTTTACTCTCATAGCAACTTTCAGTCATATGATACAGTATTGATAACTGTAGTCATATTGCTGTATATTAGATTCTGGGTAGCAGGTCTTTTAATAGTAGCTGGGCATTTATATTTCTGCTTGTGTTAAAACCTAATTATTAGAGACAGTGTATATATTTCATGGTCTCTAATACTTAGTCCTATTGTAGCATTTGAGGTCACGTGATATTTAAAAAAGAAAATTTTATTTACAAAAGGAATTCTTTTCAAAAGGAATATTTTAAATCATGTAGAAATAAACAGTTTACTTACTCCCCTTTTTCCTTTTTAAACTGTTAGTCTACTTGGAATTAAGAATTTGCTAGTCAGTATTTGATAGTTACTGTTTATTAGGGATAGATTTTATGTGTATGTTGGTAAGCATATGTGTGTGTGTGTACATATAAATGTTATGTTTTAAAATTTCTTGTCTTAAATTTTCAAAATTCTATGAATTAGATGTAAAAAAAAGAGCACAGTAAATTAATCTGTTTATTAGGCTCTTTAGGAATTCGCTTTTTAAATTGAAAAAAGAATTGAAAATTGTCGACACATTAATACGGTAAAGGTTAAAGGGGTTATATATATAAAAGTAATACATGCTTTTAAAACTATTTGAAAAATTTTAAAAGAAGATTGCTTACACATTTTTTGTTAGGTTTTAATTTTCCCTTCTTACTCCAAGGAATGCATAAATGCAAACTAAGTTTTCAGTATAAATAAATTGTCATTTATATGACATTCAGTCTTTTCGTTGCTTATCTATAGGCATTGCTGTCACATTAACTTGGGAAAATAGAAGTATCTAGAGTAAATTTTCTCTTTTATAATATTTGTTTGGCTAGAGTTTTAGAATGACATTTAAAAAAAACCTTTTCTTTCTCTCTTAGCCACTTGAATTGCTTTGGCACTCATTAGATGAATGGCTAGTTTTAATAGCTACAGAACTGATGAAAAACAAAAAGGACTCAACGGATATCACTTCTATTTTACTAAAACAAAAAGGCCAAGATCAAGATGGTACTTCCATGCCTCCATTTGAACCTCCAGGACCTGGGAGCTATGAAAATCTATCCACTGGCACCAGGGAATCTAAACCAGATGCTCTAGGAGGGAAACAGGAAGCCAGTGCAGACTGTCAGGATGTTATTTCTATGACAGCTAACCGGCTAAGTGCTGTCATTCAAGCTTTTTACATGTGCTGTTCTTGTCAGATGCCTCCAGGGTAAGAGGGTTTCTGCTTTGTTTTGTGTGCAGGTCTCAGCCTATCAATAACCAATCTGGTGGCTGGACCAGCCCTTGTGGTTCTTATTATGATTGCAAGGCGCCCTTCAGCAATAACCATCAGGAAACTTTGAAAAAAAAGGGGGGGGGGGTTTATTACTTACAAGGTCTGGAAATTACATGGCACACCTGGGGCCACACAGCGAGGTTGCAGGGAGAGAGCAAGAGTGAGAGCGTGGCCCACAAGAGAGCTAGCGCACAAGTGGTGTGGGTATGGGCCTGGCGTTCTGCTTTTTGTGGGGTCGAAGGTAGGGGGCTTCTGGTGCTCACTCTTTATTGGTGAATTTAAAACATAAGAGTGGGAATTTAAAGCGTGGGAAGAGAAAAAAACAAGAGGCCTAAGTGGTTGGTTATCGCAATCAACCAAGATCTTTAAAACAAAGGAGCCTCAGTGGGGGGAGGTGGCCTGGCTCTTATCTAGTTGGGTGGCTGGCAATGTGTTTATTAAAGATAGCCATCTTTGAAGTGTGTGCCTCTTTGAAGGAGAAGCCTTGTCAACCAAAACTCAAGTCAGGCGTGCTTGCATTGCAAAACAGAGAAAACCCAACTGTCAAGGTTTACACTGCATGCTTATTGTTTTTTCTCTGATAGATGAAGAAATGCTATGATTTTTTTTTTTTTGTAATTTCAGTAAAAACAACTGATAATTTGTTGATTTAGGTTCTGTTCCAATCTTGTTTCAGGATACTCATTGTACTGATGTAGAATTAGTTCAAAATATTTGATAAGCATTATGTAAGTTATTAGCGTGTAGAATGGTGAATGCCACTTTGTGTGGGATCAGTTGTTATGTATTTGAAATGTAAAGATCAGAGATGCTTAACATTTCAAGGTTTTTAAAAAGTCACTTGTTTATATGTTAATGAGAATTAAATATTTTTTCATCTTACGGATTGATTAGGCATGCCTCAATTTCTTAAATTTGTGAAGACAATCCAAACCCAAATATTTTTTTGTCTAGAAGCCAGTCCAGTTCAATACATAGTTTTCAGATTTGCTATATCATCAACTTTTGTCTGTGTGCTCTGATTTTTTTTTGCCCCCCACAGAATGACTTCACCCCGTTTCATTGAATTTGTCTGCAAACATGATGAAGTCTTAAAATGCTTTGTTAACAGGTAAGGCTTTCTTGTGTTTATGGTTTGCCCTTATAGCCGTTTCTTTATTTACAGTATTCATTTCAACAGAAAAAATGTTATTTCTGTTAAACTGTTAAAATAATACTCGGTGACAAGTAGATGTATAGTAGGTGTGTTATTCTTCTGTTTCAGTATCTCTATATCTGAATCTGCATTTCACTTAATGCTGGTCATCCTTTCTGTCCATTTAAACAAAATGTGTTTTTTTTCCTTTAGGAATCCCAAAATTATATTTGACCACTTTCACTTCCTCCTCGAATGCCCTGAATTGATGTCAAGATTTATGCATATCATTAAAGCACAGGTAGACATTTCTCTTAATCTTGTTTTTAGTCTGTCTAATGAAACGTTTCTAAATTTGAGTACTGTTTAGTTAAGTAATTATTACTGTGACACCAGTTGCTATAAAGGAGTGAAATTACCTTATTGTTTAGTATATGGAGTTACATTAGTATGTTTGTCTAGTATGAGGAGTAATTTTTCTTCTTCAAGAAATGTGTATTGAGGTCCTACTCTGTGCAAAGACTCTGTTCAAAGACAATAGAACACGCCACATTTCCTGAAATGAGTTTCATGGAACACTAGTCCTATAAGGCTTATCGTCCTTGTGAAAAGGATTTTATCCCCAAATATATTAGGGAAATATGCCCTGTTGGAGAGATATCAAGTTTATCAATATCTCGTTAAAGGCTTTGAGAAGCCCTTTGCTAAAAATAGTGATTTAACTTTGTTAATCCTCCAAACTTATTTGACCTGAGAACCTTTCCCCTGCCAGGGTTCATTCCACATGTCTCATGTTTTGTGTAATATGTTAGGAAAAGCTTTTTTTACTACTTAACAACTATGTGACTTCGGGCACAGTTCCAGCTTCCCTGAGCCTTGGTTTCTTCATCTGTAAAATAGAGATAAACCTCATGGAGCTGTTGTGAAGAGTAGGTTTTAAATAGTAACTGGCACATATGTACAATTAATGGTCGTTTTGGAGGTAGAAGACGTACATCCTTTCTCCAAGAGTATCTTAATTCAGTCTAGCAGGGGAGATGATAAATGTAATTGTAAGAGAGTAATTACAGTATTACCTGGTTCTTTATGAGTTCAGGGGAGGAAGCATTTGCTTCTGGCTGCTATAAACAAGGGAAATTTCAAAGAGGAGAGGGATTTTAAACTGGACCTTGAAAAACATGCAAAATTTGAAGAGAATAAGGCGGGGAAGATGAGCATTCTAGCCACGGTATAGACATGCAGGTGGAAAAGTGCATACAACTGCGGTGCTCGAAGCAGAAATTTTGTGTAGGTGAGGAATGAGATAAGTTCTGGAAAGGCTGATGTGGGTCTTTGTATGTTAAGCCTTGACTGCCAGATTAAAGAACCCTTGTCTGCTGTGTGGCAGGAGCCACTGATAACTTGGCCTCAGGAGAATGACATGATCCTGGCAGAATTATAGGAAACAATTTGTAAGAAATGTAGGATAGACTACAGGCTCTGGTTTGGCAAGTAGTCATAGGATAAATACTATAGGTGTTTTTAAATGTCTTCAGGGACACAGATTCTTTCAGAAGTTAAAGCTAACAAATACTTCTTATAAGATTATACCCATGTCTATAGGTATCCTTTGACATCTGTTTAATAATGATAATGTAAAAGAGAAGGTAGTGATAATAACTTATATTTATTGAATGCTAACTTCATGTCAGGTACCATACTTTTTTTTTTTTAATGTGGATCATTTTATTTTTATAACAGTCAGGTGAGATAGGTACTCTCACTGAAGCTGAGGAAGTTAAGTAAGTTAAGTCATTTGTCTATTAAGTGGGAGAACCAGAATTAGAAGTCTTTTGTTTTAGACTTCAGTTTTAGAAGTTCAGTTTTTTGTTTTTTTTTTTTTAATATATCCTTATTGATTTCAGACAGAGGAAAGGAGAGGGAGAGAGAGAGAGATAGAAACATCATGATGAGTCATTGATCAGCTGTAGCCCGCAACCCAGGCATGCTCCCTGACTGGGAATCGAACCCCAATCGCCTGGATCCTAGGTCGATGCTCAACTGTTGATCCACGCCCGGCCGGGCATTAATTTCATTTTTTTAACCTACATTATGTGACTCCATACTAGGGCAAAGGAGATTATAGGTGAAAGAAACTTAGTTTTTGAAAGGTAGTTTGCTACTTTTTAATACTGTCTTTGCTTTTCATTTCCTTTACCCCTTCCCTTCTGGAACAATTCAGTCAAAAAGCATTGCATCAGCTACCCACCTTACCGCTTTGACCCACAGAGGGGATTTTGTTGCCTGACTAGGGTGAGGAAGATGTCCACAAGCATGGTGGTGTTCCCATTTTTGGAGCTTGGGCCTGGTAAGGAGGGTGTCTGTGTAGAAGAGGGGCTCAGCATGGAGTATGTGAGTTGGAGTGGCATATGGAGGATGTCCAGTGTGGAGGGCCGTGCCAGTTATTCAGAGTAGTTTGACAAAGCCTAAGTGGGGTGGAGGGCATGCATTTAGTGAAGGGTTCATGTTAGTAATAGGATGTTGGTTATATACAGGTTGATCAAATAAGTATATAAAGATATTGGGAGCTTAGTTTCTCATTGTTGGAGAAAGCAGTTAGAAAACGTAGGAAAATAGAACCATGTGCCCTTGGATTGGAATTGGAGATGGCAGTGGGAACTTAGATTTTTTAATGTAGATAGATATAGCAAACCTGGCACCCAGTTCTTGGTCTCTAAATACCATTCTCAATGAATCAGAACTCCTTGGAGAAATGGTTAATTCCAGGTAAGGGAAAGGGAAAGAGATGAGTGTGGAACATTTTAATGTGCAAGAAAGTTCAAATAATTATGTCATATTAAAAATGACTCAGAACCAGTTTGAATGAACTCCACCTGCCAAATCTGGAAAAATTTGATCATCAAAAGAAATAATGATGGCAAAATATTATAAATACAATTAATTATGAGTCTATATTGAAAAAATTAATGAATAAATGGAAAGTTTGAAGATGTGAGGGTTATTTTTACTGTCTTAAAGTATATCTCCCATGGAGTATTTATTAATTACAAAGATTTAAAAAAGACCTTTATAGCCCTGGCCGGGTGGCTAGGTTGCTTGGAGTGTTGTCCTGTACACCAAAAGGTTGTGGGTTCGATTCCCAGTCAGGGCATATGCTTAGGTTTCAGGGTCAATCCTGGGTCCAGGTACGTACAGGAGGCAACCAATCGATGCTTCTTTCTATCTCTCTATCTCTGTCTCTGTCTCCCTAAAATCAATAAACATATCTTCAGGTGAGGATTAAAATAAAATAAAAACAAAAAAAACTTTACAATGTACACATTTGACAGTGACCTAAGCAGACGTATCAGTGTGCCCACTGATAAGATAGATGCTCAGAGAATAACATGGCATCACTTCTTTAATATTCCTTCCAAAGATGCACACCCTGAATTTAATCATGAGAAAACGTCAGACTAATTCCAGTTGGGACATACTAAAAAAATAACTGACCTGCAATCTTTAAAAGTATCGTGGTCATGAAAATTAAGAAAACACTGAAGAACTCGGCCAGAATGAGACAGGACATCTAAATACAGTTCATGAGTCATCATGCTATAAAGGACATAATTCAGAAACTGGCAAAACTTGAGTTGGGTCTAAGGATTAGATATACTGTAGTAATGTGTCAGTGTTAATTTTCTTGGTTTTGACAGTTGTTTTCTGGTTATGTAGAATAATTCTCTTTGTAGGAAATACACACTGAAGCTTTAGAGGTGACTGGCCATCATGTTGGCATCTTACTCTCACATCAGGAAAAAGAAGTAGTTTGTATTCTATTACACTTAGAAACTTTCTATAACTTGGAGGCTGTTCCAAAAAAAACAGAAAAGTTAACAAAAACTCTCTCTCCTAAGGGATTTACTTACTGTTCTGTTGGTGGTTTTCAAGTGGCCTGTAGTTAAAGGGAGAAACATTTTGTATTGCTGTACAAATGCTATTAAGAGGAACCTCTGTAATCAGTCCTGTTTTGTGAATTATTTTATGGAAATGCAGGTACTCAGAAAGTTTACATACAAAAATCTGCCCTTAGGCTTTGTAGGTGTGTGTATATATGTGTGGATGTTTTGATCTTAAAGATAACTTTATTAGCTTTTGAGGGTAGCATTTTGTACCTTTTAATGTTCCATTTGAATTACTTAAAAAATTGCCATTTGCTTTTATTTTTTGGTTCACATTTTATGAATAAAGAATATGGTTTAATACAATGGCAAGGACTTTTACTGTCATTTTAAATACTTAATCGTGGTAATTTTAACATTGTTATGAGTGATAATAAGAACAAAACCTCTTCATTGAGCATTCTGGGTGTTGAGTATTTATACAAGCTAACCTCTTAGTGCTGTATTTTTTTCTTCTGTGAAATGGGGGTAATAAGATTCCCTTTTCCTCATAGTGTTGTGAGGATTCCATGTCAAAATGCATCTAAAGTGCTTAAAACCATACCTGGCTTAAAGGTGCTTTAATAAATGTTAGCTAATTTATTATTATAATTTTTATTATGTTCTATGTTTGCATTATTTCACTTAATTCTCACAATTAGCACTTAGAGTATTATTTTCCCTATTTTATAGGTGGGAAAACTGAAGTTCTGGGAAGATTCTTAATTCTTCTAAATTCTTAATGCACTCTAGTTTGTTGTACTTCATTGTTTAGAACTTAATATTATATATGTATTGTGTTGTTCTAATGCTAGTCTCATCTCTTTAACTGTATTAAACAATTTTTAGCAAAGAAATTGAGATTTTTACAGCTCTTATGTTACCTCCAGTGTTGGCACATGCTGGGTACTCAGCAATACTTTCTGAATAATCATAAAAAATTGCAAATTACATGCAGTTGCATATCTGGCAAATGAACAAAAGGTAGAGACTTTCTTTACTGTTTAAGAGATCATTTTTAATTTTTAGGGTGGAGGAAGGGAAGGAAGAAGGAAAGAAGGGGGTCACAGATTCTGTTTTAGTTGCTGTATATATTCAAAGGGTAGAAATAAGAATAAAGTTAGCTGTAAAAGATTATTTTAATGAAAAATTAAATGGAACATGTGACATCATTTTTTCTGGATGTGAAAATTCATTTTTATAAGCCTTGTTGGGTTTAAGAGAAATTGAGAGTAAATGGATTCAATTACATATAACACATTTAGTTCTTAGATATAACCTTCTAATTTATCAGGTCTTTTCTGTTGTAAATGTAGGGAATTTTAATAAATACACTCTCTAGATAGAGTATTTCAGCTAAGCTCTGCCTGTTTGTGAATAGTTGTTGAAATGTCAGGACATTATCTAGAACTATTTATTATATATAAAAGTCTAAGGATGATTATTTGTAGAAAGGGCGTCTAGCATGCTAACTTAAGTAAATTTAATAGGTGACTGAAACACTAACATACTTTAATGTTTTTTGTTGGGGTAGCCATTTAAAGATCGCTGTGAATGGTTCTATGAACATTTGCATTCAGGACAAACCGATTCAGACATGGTGCACAGGCCAGTGAATGAGAATGACATCCTGCTGGTTCACAGAGGTATGCTTAACAAAGAAATGCTGTGGATGGGAGGCCCCAGACACTAGTTATTGTAAATTTTAATATGCAAAACTAACCAGTGCTGCATATTTAGATTCTATTTTTAGGAGTAGCTGTGAAGTTGTCTCAAAAGCAAATTGTGCAAAGCTAAAGCAAGGAATTGCTGTACGATTCCACGGAGAAGAAGGCATGGTGGGTATGAATAAGTGCTGTGAAGATCGCTGTATATAAAAGATTGAAATGCACTTGAATGAAATTTGATATTTAATTGATAATGGAAGAAATTTAATATGGTTTTAATTTTATTATTTACAAAAAATTTCCCTATCTTATATATTTCTGTTGATACTTAATTTTATTTTCTTGAACTCAGGGTCAAGGTGTTGTGCGTGAGTGGTTTGATATTCTGTCTAATGAGATAGTCAATCCTGATTATGCATTGTTTACCCAGTCAGCTGATGGTAAGTTGTACACTACTGATGACTTTTTCTGTGACTAATTACATTTTCAAACTACTTCAGTGTGTTTTATTCTTTGATTCCCGTAGTAGCTCTATAAGATAAGTGGGGTATTCCCATTTCATAGAAGAGAAAACAGAAATTCAGAGTTTTTGTCTATGTTAACACAGTTAATGAGTGGAAACTGACTCTGTAGCAGTCTTTCCTCTGAAAACTTGATTCTCAAATACTTGTCTCAAGTACTAGTGCTGGCCCCAAGAAACTTTTCATTAGTTCTTTGTAAACTAAAGCTAAATGGATTCACTTTAAGGATTGCCCTTTAGTCCACTTTTCTTGAGTTAAAATTTCTTTTAGTGAAATAGTGATAGTAGCTGTATTTGAAAATAATACCACTCCTTATTTGGAAAAATTAAAATTTGCTAACCCTAATTGAGTTTCCAAGTCTCAAAATGTATTGGTCATAACAAAGTCTAGAAATCATGGTGTCAAATCTTAACTTATAATCTATTTATATATAGTAACTTAGTTTTCAGTCTTTTTAAAATATCAAGACCTGACAACTAAAAAGCTCCTATTTAACCATGTAACACAGATAAAAAACTCTATTTGTTGAAATGGTACTCGTGGCCTACAGAATTATAATTTGATATTGTAGGCTAAATGGAAATGGCTAATACTACCTTAGTTTTGTGAGATATAATTGAGAGTTTTGTAACTTAACACATTGTTTGCAGGTAGTTTTTATCGCGTGCTCTACTACCAGTCAACGTAAAATGTATAAATATGTTTCCTGCATACAGTGTGTTAATAGAGACATATCCAAGCGAAGGTAGGATTTCAATTTCTAAATGCTGTGTATAGTTACTTCCCCCCCCGAAAATCTTTTCTTTCCCAGTATTTAAATTCTTTTTTATAAGGATAGAATGCTTCATTAATTGTAGTTCCTGATTGCATCCAACCAAATGAGCATCAAGTCTCCTTGGAACAGGAAGGACGACTCTAAGAGAGGCATGTAGAGGTGGGCTGCAGTGATGCTAGGCAGCTGTAGTTATTCACCTTTGTGATGGGCTCCTCAGATACACCTGGTGTATTTGAATTTTTAGGAATATGGGACTGCCTCCCTTAACTCTGTTACCTTTGATTGTTTGTTACGAGTTAAATTTGTTGAATTTGACAAGATTGATGTGGCACTAAGTTTCATTATTTAGGCCTAATCTTTGATGTAAGATTTAGCATTAAAATGTTGCATTTTAGATGTATTTCTTTTCTTTATAACCTCTTATTCTGAGTCTGTCTAGTTTCATATCTGAAAAACAGATTTGGTGTAGAATCATTAGTAGAGCTACTTCCTCATACTACAGATTTATAGCAGAGCAAATATTAAAGCACATGGATTATAAAGATTGTGATTTGTCCTTTTTGTAAGCCATCTGAGTGTTCTCTTTGGGGTCATAGTATTAACAGATGAAAATCTAGATGAAATTTTTCTTATGTATAGTTGACAAGAAGATAATTACATTTAAGAATTAAAAATTCCTAAATGTGGGAATTGTTTGAATAGACCTAATATCTATAATAATTTCTTTAAAACTTGCTTTCTGATTAAATTAAGATACTTACATTGGAGAAGTAATATAGTGGCTAAGAGTTGGGCCTTTGGTGTTACACTGGATGTGAATCCTGGCTCTGCCCCTTTTTATGCTGTGATCTTGGGCCAGTAAATGTAACCTTTCTGAACCTCAGTTTGCTGATCTGACATGGTGATAAACCTATGTTTTGTACTGTAGTGAGAAATCAATTAGCTGTTGTGTAAAAACACTTGACCCAGTCCCTGGCACATAGAAAGCAGAAATAACTGTTAGATGCTATTATTATTTTTCTGTGAAAATGCTATTTTCTTGTGTAATACAATTTTTCTGAAGCAATGAAAATAGCTGGGAGTGTCACAGTTACTTTTATTTTGAACTTAAAACATAGCATAGAATTTATATTCTGTTTTAACTAATTTTCAAGTTAAAAACTATTGTTTCCTGAATACTTTTTCCCCATATCTTTTATTTTCTTTTGATTTCTTCTTATCTATTCTTTTTAATAACCCAGACTTCCCAGAAAGTACTTAGGAATTATATAGACCTAGGGGAGGAAAGCTGAGTCATCAAAAATCTTTGCTGGTTCAGCAATAACCCTAAGCATTCACTATTTTAATAGGTAAAAAATATTTGTGATTATTCTCAGAATATTTTTTGAAATTATGGCTATGTTTATCTTTGAAGTCTTTCTTCATCTCACAGAACTTTGCTTTGACTTTTAATACCCAGTCTTACATTATGACTGGGAATGATTCTCTAAAGATACTTAACAGTGAATGACTAGCTTCATGTGGCTCTTTTAAATCATTCAGCCATAAGCTTCCAAATTTATACCTTATATCTCAGTAAATTGGTCACGGCAATTTAGTCCAGTGCCAACCCTGATAAATCAAAGACCAACGAAGCACAAAGGGAATTATTGTCAAAGTACCTATATTAAATGACCAAACATTTTGCCCTCCAGTACTTTTTCATTTTTCCTTTATTTTTCTTTGATGTGGTTTCATTAGATTTATCAGTTATTCTTTCTTTTAAGTAGCATGAGCCCAGTAAATACTTGTTGAATGATGAGAGAATTTGTAACCCAAGTTAGAGTTATCACAACAAAACAAGGAAGGAGGGTTATTTAAAGTTGAAATCTTGGTTTTTCATTGCACTAGATTTAATTTTTTGAGATTTTTTTTTTATTGTGGTAAAATAAACTTTACCATTTTAACGATTTTGAAGTGTTATAATTCAGTGGCACTTTGTACATTCACAATGTTGTATAACCATCACACTATATTTCCAGACCTTTTTCATGTAAGTGGAGCCATATACTCCATTGCTGTAGATTTTGACAATAATCAGTAATGATTGCCCTTACCATTTTTACTTTTATACTTCAGTGGTACTTATTAACCTTGATTATTTGCCATGAGAACAAATTGGTTGACTTGTGCACTTTTGATGATTTTATGATAATTGTTAAAAGGCATCAAGTTCATGGATTAGTTCTATCACTTAAGAACAGTTATACATTTAAAATTTTTAGTTATTGTCTTATAGCGCCCCATTTCTTAAGGAGTAAAAAGTAGTAAATATCTACTGCACTGGGCCTGAATGAGACAATGTCTGCCCTAATTCACAGCCTAGTAGTTATTTCCCCACACTGCCTAGGAAAGCAAAACACCCGTGTGTGTGTGTGTGTGTGTGTGTGTGTGTGTGTGCGTGCCACATCTTCCAACTCAAATACTTAAAAGTGCAGTAAAAAGTATTCTAAAATTTTTCTCTGTACAGACTTACTGTGATATGTATGTGTGAGTTAATATCTTTTGTACTTCTAGTTCCACTGCCTATTATATAAAATTCCTGTGAAAGTTGACACCTAACTTTAGCTTTGCTGAAGTTTTATATGAGCTAATTTATCTGCATTAAAATGATCTCACTTCTGCCTGGTCGGGTGTGGCTCAGCACTTGGCATCGACCTAGGATCCAGGCGATCGGGGTTTGATTCCCAGTCAGGGCACATGCCCTGGTTGCGGGCTCGATTCCATCGGGGGCATGTAGGAGGCAGCCGATCAGTGACTCTCTCATCATTGATGTTTCTCTCTCTTTCTCTCCTCCTTTCCTCTCTCTGTAATCAATAAATATATATTTAAAAAAAAATGATCTCAATTCTGCATGTAGATTCTTTAAAATAAATTATTTTGTATTTATTTTAATAGGAACAACTTTTCAGCCTAACAGCAACTCCTATGTAAATCCTGATCACCTGAACTATTTCCGGTTTGCTGGACAGATTTTGGGATTAGCTTTGAACCATAGGCAGCTGGTCAACATTTATTTCACAAGATCATTCTACAAGCACATTCTTGGTATGACTATTGTTTTTCCGTAGACACTTGTTTAAAGTGTTTTTCCTCTAGTCTTTAGGGAAATCTAGTTTGATGTAATGGCATTTTGGATGAGATCATTTTTATTTTGATTAGAGACTATCTGTGTATGTATGTAAGACATTTGAATGAGAGCCTGAAGGAAAGAAAAAAACAACAACTCCTTTTTTGCTACAAAAAGGTTTTTTTCATTTTAGTGTGTGTATATTTATGCTAAGAATGCATTTTGATATGAATATATTAAAGAGAATTGGCACTTTTTGAAGTTTATAATAATTTCCTGGGTAGCTATTTCAAAGAAAGATTACATTGTAAAAATGTGGAAGAAACATAAGCTTAAATCAAGCTTCAAATTCAGGAATTATCCATTTAAATCATGCTGTGAATTTGATTATATTTTGCAGTTCTAAATAGTATCTGTAGAGGGCAGTATTTTACCATTAAACAGATAAGGAAAGGCAGAAACATGTAGAATATAATTGCTGTATGTTTATATTTTTAGGTATTCCTGTAAATTACCAAGATGTTGCATCTATTGACCCAGAATATGCCAAAAATTTGCAGTGGATTTTAGATAATGATATTAGTGATCTGGGTCTAGAACTAACTTTTTCTGTTGAGACTGATGTATTTGGAGCCATGGAAGAAGTGCCTTTGAAACCTGGGGGTGGAAGTATTCTGGTGACACAAAATAACAAAGTAAGTATTTGAATTTTTACCGTAGCCAATGTTTGTAACTTGGTCCTGATATTCTAAAGTCTTTTGGCTAATTATTGTAAAGTCTCTTGGTACTAGCCAAAATAACTTTTGCTGTTAGAGTTTAATAACATTTTATAAAAGATAAAATAAGTTAACTAAACCATCAAATATCATACTTACAGTTAAGTAAAACTAAAACCTTTTTCCTTTCCTTTAGTTGTATTGTAATTCCAAGATAGCTTCAGAATCACCTACTTATAAAAAAGAATGTTTATTGAACCATTTTGTAGACTAGCAATTTTGTAAAATAACGATTTTTTTTTTTTAAGCCAAAGACATGGGCATGTTTTAACTAAACTCTTTGAGCCTCAGTTTTCTATTCTGTAAAATTGGGATCATACATCCCATAGAGAATTGTTACTAACATTTTGTAAACCTAAAAGCACATTACAAAAGTTAGTTGTTATTGGATAGTTTTCTATAAAAATAGGCTTAAAAGTTTCAGGTGTATACAGGAAATTGGAGACCTATATTAAGCTACATAATTTTACTTTTTGAAACTCAGATACTGTACATATAAAAAAGCATGAAGTTTAATTTTGGAAAATAAAATCAGGAGCTGAGTTTTTCCACATTTATACTTAAATTTTTTTTGTCTACCCTCTCATTTTACCCATGAGGATACTGAAGCCTAAAGCTGGAGCCAAAACCCAGGTCTCCTGTCTCCTAGTTTCAAGTCTAATGTTCTTCATACTGTTCGCAAAATTAATCATGTTCTGGAAGAGTTTACTTGACTTTTAATATATTGAGTCATATGAAGCTCTAGAAAATTAAAATGGTAAAGTGTTTAAATTAGTTTTTAAAATCTATATGAGCTTGCTAGTGAACTTAAAATATTTAAATATTTAGTGACTATTTAAAAAAATTTTAAATTCTTATAATTATTAGATTGTCCACCTTGCAATGCATTTGTTACTTTATTTTACACTGGAGATGTACTCTCAAGGGTGATGAAGTCATAGAATCTTCATTATAATCAAGTGATTGCTTTTCATGAGAGAACCTCAAACATGATTCTTATCTGTGAATACCGTATCTAATGAGTGGATTTGTCACTCCTCTCAGATATATTTTATATGACAAAGTGAAAAGACCCATTAGCAATTGCATGATAGATAGCTGTATTTGTACTTTTTTCTCCTAACAGCTTCCCTCTCACTATGACGTGATTTTTATTTAGATATTTTTAGATTCATATTTTATTCTTTTACATTTGTGTCTTTTATGGAAATTAGAAAGAAGGAAGATATCAAAAAAATAACAACAAGTGAAAATATACTTTCATTGAGGGTATACCCTTCATCTTGATTCTAGTCAGAGGCTAGAATACTATTCTAATACTAAAGAGCTTGAAACTTTTGTTTCTAAGTTTAATACATTTTTATTTAACCATATTAACTAATTGGTTGATTACAGGCTAACCTTTTTTTTTTTTTTTTTTTTTATTTCTTTATCTTTTTTGTTGAGAATATTACAGATGTCCCTTTTTTATCCCCACTGATCCCCTCCACCCCACATCCATCCCACCCCCAGGCTTTCCCCATACCAATGCCTGTGTCCATGGGTTATGCTTATAAACATATAAGTTCTATGATTAATCTCTCCCCACCCACACCCCCC